CCCTCCTCCCTCAGACCCAGGAGTCCAGGCCTCCAGCCCCTCCTCCCTCAAACCCAGGAGTCCAGGCCTTTGGCCCCAGGAAATTCAGAGACCAGTCTTGCCTGGAGCTCTAACCTGTCCAGCGTCCTCCTCCTTGTCGTCTGGGTCACTGCTGTCCCAGACTGGGTCCTCCGTGGCGGCAGGCCTGGCCCCCACAGGCCTCCCTGGGAAGTGATGGACACTCACAGCCTCACAGCCCTTGATCTGGCAGCGGCAGAAGGGGCAGGTCTGGTTGTCCGACTGCTGCAGGAGGACATAGGAGCGAGCGGGTCAGGATTCCCTGCTCCTTCTGCACCAGGTCCTTCCATCCCCAACCAAGTGATGGGGCTGATAACAGAGAGAGAAAATAGGAGGATGAGAGAGAGAAAAAGAGTATAAGAGAATGAGAGAGAAAGGGGGGGGAGCGAGATGGAGAGAGAGAGAGAGAGAGAGAGAGAGAGAGAGAGAGAGACAAGCTGGGCGGCCGCTGGAGTCTGGAGAGGCACTCGCGGTCGGAGAGCCATGGGGCAGAGAGCCCTGGGTCCGTGGTGACAATGCCTGTCTCCCAGGACCCCTCTGGGCCAGGTCTCTGCGTGGAGTAACCTCACGACGACCATCGGGGTTCCTATCGCCAGCCCCCCTTGCAAGGTGGCAGCTCGGCCTGGAACTGCAGCAGCAGGCACGGACAGCAGCCAGGCTGCTGGCTCGCTCTGGGGGCCACTTCCCGCTCGCCTGAGCCTCAGTTCTCTCAGGTGACCGAGAAGGCACCCACGGGTCCTCAGGGCCCTTGGGAGGAGCAAACTGTTCAGCTCTCAACGACGCGGTTGAGAGTTCAAACCCACCGTCGGCAGGAAGGTCTGGCTATCTGCTTTCGAAGGTCAGTTCAAAGCCCAGCCACACAGCCCTGCTCTGCCACGCCCGCTCGCTCGCTCTGCCCCGCCCTCCCGCTCTGCCCCGCCCACTCGCTCTGCCCCGCCCTCCCTCTCTGCTCCGCCCACTCGCTCTGCCCCGCCCTCCCGCTCTGCCCCGCCCGCTCGCTCTGCTCGCCCACTCTCCCTGAGGGGGAGCCCACTGGCCAGCAGCCAATGACCGCAGCAGGGGCTCCGCTCCGCCCCCTCCCCCACCCCCCCCAGCCCCTGAGAGGGGACAGAAGGCAGCAGAGGGTGAGGTGAGGACAGACGCACCTGCCAGGTGGCCAGGCAGCGGCTGCAGAGCAGGTGACCACACGGCTGGATCTTCACGTCCTTGTTGCTCTCGGCGCAGATCTTGCAGAGCTCGAAGGTGGAGTCCATGGCCCAGTACAACTGCAGCTGCTCCTGGGGGGGGCGGGGCGGGGCGGGCGGGCTGAGTGTGTGTGTGGGGGGCTGCCAGGCACAGGGAGGCACCTTGGGCCCAGGGAGAAAGCCCAGCCTCTCCCAAGCTCAAGGCTTCCCATGCACTGTCCCCGCCCGCATGCCTTCTTATGCACGGGGCTTTCTTTCTTTCTTTTTTTAAAAAAATACTTTTATTGGGGACTCTCTTATCAAATCCATACATTCCTCCAGTGTGTCAAGCACATTTGCACATATGCCGTCATCATCATTTTCAAAGCATTGGCTTCCCACTTGAGCCCCTGATATCAGCTCTCCATTTCTTCCCCCTCCCTTCCCCGCCCTCCCTCCCTTGATAGGTTATAGATTATTTTTTCCATATCTTACATCGCCCTCCGTCGCCCCTCACCCATTTTTCCGTTATTCGTCCCTCTGGGAGGGGGTTCTAGGTTGATCCTTGTGATCCCCCTTTGTCCCCCCACCCTCCTCTAATCCTCTTGGTATCTCTACTCTCCTCTTTGGCCCTGAGGGGTTTATCTCTCCTGGATTCCCTGTGTTTGGGGCTCTTATCTGTAGCAGTGGCGCACAGGGTTTTCCTAGGAAACCTGTCAGTGCCCAGATTTCTGCGAAAGAAAAGCAGATGGGATATACTCCAGTCCCATGTGAATTTCAGATCAACAACGAACTGGGTTTGGTTAGGGTTTTTCTCTCGGGGCAAGGATGGCCTGGGTTAGGTCCCAAGTCGTCGGTGATCAGTTGCTGACCTGGGTGGTAGTCAGAACCCAGCGCCATGGCCATCTCTTCCTGTGACGGAGGACAGTCGCATGGGCCCTAGAGAGCAGCGCTACTCTCTCCCAAATGGGTGGTTCCCACGAGTGGGAATTGACCCCATAGGAATAGGTCTCTTTGTGCTTTTATTTGGAAGGGGTGGTGGGGGTGGTAACCCCTGGTGGCATAGTGGGCTACGAGCTGGGCTGGTAACCTCCAGGTCAGCAGTTTGAACCCCCCAGCCCTGGGACAAAGATGAGGCTTTCTGCTCGCGTGAGGAGTGATGGCATTAGAAATCCACAAGGGCCCGTTTCCTCTCTGTCCTGAAGGGTCTACACGAGCCGTTGAATCCGTTCCAGCTCCCAGAGCCCCTCTAGGTTGGGGTAGAACTGCCCCTGTGGGTTTCCAAGGCTGTAACTAGTCAAGGGAGGAGGGGACAGCCTCATCTTTCTCCCAAAGAACGGAGGGGGGATTCGAGCTGCTGACCTTGTAGTGAGCAGCCCAAGGAGAAACCCCTATGTCCCCATGCTCTTGTTGTCTCAGCTGCCTCCTCACAGTCCCCCCCCCC